CGCGCGTTGGTTGGGGATTCACGCTCGCGCGCGTGAATGTATCGTGTGTGTTGTGTCGTGTTGTCTGTCTTTGCGTTTGTCTTCATGAGTGTATGTGTGTGTGTGTGTGTGTGTAAGTGTACATACGCGCGTATGCACGCGTGGGTGTGTGAACGGCACCGTTTTTTTAACATCATTGTCGCGACATATCTTATCACTCTGTCTCCTTACGCTTAATTAGCTACTTAGTCGCACGAGTGAAGGATGATTGAAGTAACTCGATAATATTTACACGGCCACTTATTAATAACGCGCCTCACGTCCAATATTGGAACTGGCAGTCCGCCGATATGCAACGTTTGACCCGATTTGTCGGCCGTTTTGTCTCTTTGTTTCTTCGGGGATACGGATGTTGAGGTCGTTGAACTCGCGGTTCGCCGAGAGAGTAAGATCCGTTGGAACGCGTGTTCCAGTCGTTTCTCGCCGTTCTTCGATGACGTCTCGTGAGCAGAAGCTGCTGGTCCGCTATACGGGTATCCGCGATGGTATGTGATTCCCTCGCTTTCTCGAATTAACCTTATTCCGATTGCACGCACGGTACGCCGCACGGAAGAGTAGAGTTTTTTTTTTTACAGTTAGATCGCTCTGCCTCCCGTTTCCTACCGCGGGCGCTGTTAATCAAACGCTGAGATTACATCGACGCGAAATCGAGACGCACGTCGTACCGAATCGAGGACTACGTTAAAACTTGAACGAATAGACTCGTCACGGAGGATAAATCGATTTCGCACGCGCATGCGATAAACATCACGCAGGACAGGGGAAACTCGGCATTCGTGTTCCGGAAGCATTTTACGTTCACTGATGAACGATCTCGGATGTCTCATTGAGACCGCGCGTCGATCACGTTACCGGCACTTGGCGTATCGGGCTTCTGTTTCGTTGTCGGAGAGTTGATTGTTACTTTCATATACGTCCGATACGAGCGACTCCCTTCTTCTCCACAATTAGTGGACGCGAGAGAACGATGTGCTCCGGCCTAATCTACAATTGAATCCACGTAACCTTTCTATTTCTCTTTCTCTCTCTCTCTTCCCCCCCTCCCCTCCTTTATGCCGCTGATCAAATCGCAAACCGAAACGCGCTGCATTTTTTTACGCGCTACTGATCGCTCCTATATCGTCCTTACGATATCACCCTCTCGCACCGAGGGATGGGGCGACCTTGACGGGAATTTCAGCAGAGTTGAGATCGCGAGAGCGGAATCTGCCAAGTTTTCCGAAACTTCCACAAGCGGTACCATTCACACACCTCATGTTCGCGAGTGGGTTCGCTTTGATTCCGCCCTGGCCGACCCCTCACCCCGTTTTCACCTCTCTCTTTCTCGTCCTTTTTCCCCGCGGATTCCCCGTGATTCGCGTGCGCGACGGGAGTTTTCCCTTTTCCTTTCTTTGCTGTTCTCTCGTGCAACGCATCTTAGTCTCTTCTTTCCTCTCGCGCCTCTCTCACCAACGAAAGCCGATTTAGGGACGAGCGAGAGAGCCCCGAAGTTTCCTCGTCATTTCTCACACCACGACCCACATCGCGATCGGTCTCCTCCCCCCGGTGCGAGACAAACCGCACTTTCATGCGCCACTTACTTTGCCCGCTTACTTACATATTCACAGTTATGATTTCGATCCTGTGCCTGCGCGCGAGGGAGCTCGGCGTCCAGACGAAGTCCCTTTCGTCGACCAGACCGGATCGGTTATCGCGCTTGGACGCGCCATTCTAGCCGGTAAATCTCTCTCTCTCTCTCTCTCTCCCTCTCCCTCTCCCTCTCCCTCTCTCCCTCTCTCTCTCTCTCGCTCTCTCTCTCTCTCGCTCTCTCTCTCTCTCGCTCTCTCTCTCTCTCGCTCTCTCTCTCTCTCGCTCTCTCTCTCTCTCGCTCTCTCTCTCTCTCGCTCTCTCTCTCTCTCGCTCTCTCTCTCTCTCGCTCTCTCTCTCTCTCGCTCTCTCTCTCTCTCGCTCTCTCTCTCTCTCGCTCTCTCTCTCTCTCGCTCTCTCTCTCTCTCGCTCTCTCTCTCTCTCGCTCTCTCTCTCTCTCGCTCTCTCTCTCTCTCGCTCTCTCTCTCTCTCGCTCTCTCTCTCTCTCGCTCTCTCTCTCTCTCGCTCTCTCTCTCTCTCGCTCTCTCTCTCTCTCGCTCTCTCTCTCTCTCGCTCTCTCTCTCTCTCGCTCTCTCTCTCTCTCGCTCTCTCTCTCTCTCGCTCTCTCTCTCTCTCGCTCTCTCTCTCTCTCGCTCTCTCTCTCTCTCGCTCTCTCTCTCTCTCGCTCTCTCTCTCTCTCGCTCTCTCTCTCTCTCGCTCTCTCTCTCTCTCGCTCTCTCTCTCTCTCGCTCTCTCTCTCTCTCGCTCTCTCTCTCTCTCGCTCTCTCTCTCTCTCGCTCTCTCTCTCTCTCGCTCTCTCTCTCTCTCGCTCTCTCTCTCTCTCGCTCTCTCTCTCTCTCGCTCTCTCTCTCTCTCGCTCTCTCTCTCTCTCGCTCTCTCTCTCTCTCGCTCTCTCTCTCTCTCGCTCTCTCTCTCTCTCGCTCTCTCTCTCTCTCGCTCTCTCTCTCTCTCGCTCTCTCTCTCTCTCGCTCTCTCTCTCTCTCGCTCTCTCTCTCTCTCGCTCTCTCTCTCTCTCGCTCTCTCTCTCTCTCGCTCTCTCTCTCTCTCGCTCTCTCTCTCTCTCGCTCTCTCTCTCTCTCGCTCTCTCTCTCTCTCGCTCTCTCTCTCTCTCGCTCTCTCTCTCTCTCGCTCTCTCTCTCTCTCGCTCTCTCTCTCTCTCGCTCTCTCTCTCTCTCGCTCTCTCTCTCTCTCGCTCTCTCTCTCTCTCGCTCTCTCTCTCTCTCGCTCTCTCTCTCTCTCGCTCTCTCTCTCTCTCGCTCTCTCTCTCTCTCGCTCTCTCTCTCTCTCGCTCTCTCTCTCTCTCGCTCTCTCTCTCTCTCGCTCTCTCTCTCTCTCGCTCTCTCTCTCTCTCGCTCTCTCTCTCTCTCGCTCTCTCTCTCTCTCGCTCTCTCTCTCTCTCGCTCTCTCTCTCTCTCGCTCTCTCTCTCTCTCGCTCTCTCTCTCTCTCGCTCTCTCTCTCTCTCGCTCTCTCTCTCTCTCGCTCTCTCTCTCTCTCGCTCTCTCTCTCTCTCGCTCTCTCTCTCTCTCGCTCTCTCTCTCTCTCGCTCTCTCTCTCTCTCGCTCTCTCTCTCTCTCGCTCTCTCTCTCTCTCGCTCTCTCTCTCTCTCGCTCTCTCTCTCTCTCGCTCTCTCTCTCTCTCGCTCTCTCTCTCTCTCGCTCTCTCTCTCTCTCGCTCTCTCTCTCTCTCGCTCTCTCTCTCTCTCGCTCTCTCTCTCTCTCGCTCTCTCTCTCTCTCGCTCTCTCTCTCTCTCGCTCTCTCTCTCTCTCGCTCTCTCTCTCTCTCGCTCTCTCTCTCTCTCGCTCTCTCTCTCTCTCGCTCTCTCTCTCTCTCGCTCTCTCTCTCTCTCGCTCTCTCTCTCTCTCGCTCTCTCTCTCTCTCGCTCTCTCTCTCTCTCGCTCTCTCTCTCTCTCGCTCTCTCTCTCTCTCGCTCTCTCTCTCTCTCGCTCTCTCTCTCTCTCGCTCTCTCTCTCTCTCGCTCTCTCTCTCTCTCGCTCTCTCTCTCTCTCGCTCTCTCTCTCTCTCGCTCTCTCTCTCTCTCGCTCTCTCTCTCTCTCGCTCTCTCTCTCTCTCGCTCTCTCTCTCTCTCGCTCTCTCTCTCTCTCGCTCTCTCTCTCTCTCGCTCTCTCTCTCTCTCGCTCTCTCTCTCTCTCGCTCTCTCTCTCTCTCGCTCTCTCTCTCTCTCGCTCTCTCTCTCTCTCGCTCTCTCTCTCTCTCGCTCTCTCTCTCTCTCGCTCTCTCTCTCTCTCGCTCTCTCTCTCTCTCGCTCTCTCTCTCTCTCGCTCTCTCTCTCTCTCGCTCTCTCTCTCTCTCGCTCTCTCTCTCTCTCGCTCTCTCTCTCTCTCGCTCTCTCTCTCTCTCGCTCTCTCTCTCTCTCGCTCTCTCTCTCTCTCGCTCTCTCTCTCTCTCGCTCTCTCTCTCTCTCGCTCTCTCTCTCTCTCGCTCTCTCTCTCTCTCGCTCTCTCTCTCTCTCGCTCTCTCTCTCTCTCGCTCTCTCTCTCTCTCGCTCTCTCTCTCTCTCGCTCTCTCTCTCTCTCGCTCTCTCTCTCTCTCGCTCTCTCTCTCTCTCGCTCTCTCTCTCTCTCGCTCTCTCTCTCTCTCGCTCTCTCTCTCTCTCGCTCTCTCTCTCTCTCGCTCTCTCTCTCTCTCGCTCTCTCTCTCTCTCGCTCTCTCTCTCTCTCGCTCTCTCTCTCTCTCGCTCTCTCTCTCTCTCGCTCTCTCTCTCTCTCGCTCTCTCTCTCTCTCGCTCTCTCTCTCTCTCGCTCTCTCTCTCTCTCGCTCTCTCTCTCTCTCGCTCTCTCTCTCTCTCGCTCTCTCTCTCTCTCGCTCTCTCTCTCTCTCGCTCTCTCTCTCTCTCGCTCTCTCTCTCTCTCGCTCTCTCTCTCTCTCGCTCTCTCTCTCTCTCGCTCTCTCTCTCTCTCGCTCTCTCTCTCTCTCGCTCTCTCTCTCTCTCGCTCTCTCTCTCTCTCGCTCTCTCTCTCTCTCGCTCTCTCTCTCTCTCGCTCTCTCTCTCTCTCGCTCTCTCTCTCTCTCGCTCTCTCTCTCTCTCGCTCTCTCTCTCTCTCGCTCTCTCTCTCTCTCGCTCTCTCTCTCTCTCGCTCTCTCTCTCTCTCGCTCTCTCTCTCTCTCGCTCTCTCTCTCTCTCGCTCTCTCTCTCTCTCGCTCTCTCTCTCTCTCGCTCTCTCTCTCTCTCGCTCTCTCTCTCTCTCTCTCTCTCTCTCTCTCTAGTCTCCGACATATTGACATATTTACACGTGTGGAGTTTCGTGAATTACTCTAGTCGCATGTGTGATTGTTGATAGCTTCAACGAGATAGGATATCAGAATGATCGCTGCGCGAACGTGCGGCTCGCGTTATTCAGGAAGGAACCAGCCGACAGTTCTTCTGTCCTCTTATTGATAATCCATCCAATACGCTACAGATTGGTTCGTTTCTACCTATAAAACGATCCATATGAATTTTCCCTTTACACTCAACTGTGCGAAGAGTCGCAGCCGCGTATCGGCCAAGTGTCAAGCGTGATATCCTGAGAATTCTAATGAGAAACACCACAAATCGGATCGTACCGTTCCCATTCTTGCTTCTGAGTCAGATGTCTCGAGCCGACCAATAGTAGCTCTACTTGATTTCTCTCAGACGTGAGATTCGAGGTATTTCGTCATTAGAATATCACTCTCGACACTTGACTGGTGTCTGACTGGCGTCCTTCGCTCGCGGACGCCCCGTAATCATGCAGACATAAACGATAACAGAACTTCTTAAACTCGACCTCGAGGTGCTATCGATCGTGCCGAAAGTGGTCGCTCGCGAGGCGAATCCTCGAGTATCGCGGAAGTACGTTCGCGCGTGTTCCGTGCACGATATCATGGGAGATTTTTGGACGTCTGCGGTTCGATGTACCGCGACGTGCGGTTCGTTCGCGTGCGATCTCCGCGAATAGACGCGCACGGCGTGTGCTCGGGGTGACGTAGGAATTAGCCGAGAGAAAGGGGCGGGACGGATGGATGGGTGGGATGGATGGATGGATGGATGGATGAATGGATGAATGGATGGATAAATGCAAATAGTAGATGGAGAGGAAAAAAGGGAGAAAGCGAGCGTCGTAATTATCACGCGACAACACTGTTGCAAATTGCAAATCATTAAAAAACAACTCACTCGCATGCTCGCTCGCTCGCTCGCTTGTTCACTCACTCATTCACTCACTCACTCACTCACTCACTCACTCACTCACTCACTCACTCACTCACTCACTCGCTCGCTTCCGCTCGCGTCGGTTTGCGAAAGGTTAATGAGTGTTCGCGGGCATGCGGCAAATCGAATATCGGAAAAGTGATCACGCGCTCAGTTCTGCTTGCACACACACACACATACATACGTACGTATCAGTCGGTCACATTCGCGCGCACGGGAACATGGAATATTTTAAGATTACGTTAAAACTATCCGATCTCCGGCTGGCGCACAGCCATCTTCGGTCACGTCGTGCGGCGGTTTCGTGCGAGATTTACGAACATAATTAGCCCAGGCACACCCTCATCATCCACTGGCGAATCTAGGGAGCCTCCCTCTCGCCTGGGAAGTTCGATTCGTTCTTTTCTTTCTCTCTCTCTTTCCCTTTCTCCAATAGTTTCGCGAGAGATGATCGTTCACGCTCACCTTCGCCGATTGCCTTTTGGGTATCGTGCCCGGCGAAGAGATCGCGTCAAGTGTAAAGTACGTACGAAAGGTGTAAACGATAATTATAGTACAGTTTCGAGAGTACAATTCGCGTCGTTCTCGCGCGTCGACGGTGTCGGGGGAGTTTTTCTTTTCTTCTGGATCCGCACGCGCGCGCGTTGCTTTGATCACGGAGGAGCACGCGAACTCGCGCGGCATACAAACTACGCACGGTGGCCGGTCCCCGCCGGCTTTAGAGTAAGGGATTTTTCTGCATACGCACACGTACAGGCACACACATACATACTGACTAGGCGGTAACGTTACAATGACAATAAGTTGTATTATTTGGTGACACCTGGTAGGGTATGTGTGCGGTGTGTCGGTACTGTCTGCACACGTCGGTAGCGTTACGTTCACGTGCGATGAATTCGGCGCTCTCACGCACGTCAGCACACATACACACGCACACACGCATGACGCGCTTACGACGAAACACGTCACGACCAGGCTGCGTCTTCGTCGTCGTGCGCTTTTGTGACTTAGTCCGCGCGATTTCTTACGACGATGTTATGCACTAAACTCCTTTGACTCTGCATCACCATTCACCATCACCGTACGCAGGTGTTTGGTCGAGGTCTTGCATACACACACGCGCGCACGCACGCACGCACGCACGCACATCGATAGGCGTATTGTACAAAATGAACCGTAGTTTAAGGGCAGACGCGACGTCATGATCGTCGTATTGTCGAGACCAACTAAACAACTAAACGGCCTTGTATAAGTATACAATATTTACATACGAGAGAAGTAGTCCGCTTGGCAACCGAGAGTCCGTCGACATCAGGCCCAGAGCACAGAAAAATGTAAGCAGTAAAAACTTCAGCAGTAAGCAACCGCAGTCGATTATTCCCCTTATGGTTCACGGGGAAAATCATTGGATATCACTTTCCTGAATATGGTTGTCACAACCAAATATTAGTGTTATTTTTCGCCCACGCTTAGCATAAGATGCTTGTAATAAGCATAGTGTGCTCTCAGTGATAAAATCAAACCCTACGGATATCTCAACAATAGTATTTGTTCTGCGGAGTACAACGGAGAGATAGCAACATTCCTTCGGTTAAGGCAAATATGTGTGTGAGGATGTACGTGAAGCGTTCAAACAGTGCGCGGTCTAATACAGCGCGAATTTAACCCAATTTTTATTACCGTATCTCAGAACGATCCTTTACTAGGTTAAATGTGACGATGCAGAGCGATCTGTCGATTAGTCTTTGACAGTGCCAAAGTGAACAGTGCCTCGAGTGTTCCTGCACGTTATATTGTTTTGACTGTTCCCTTGTTTGTGGAGTGAAGTGAACTCAGTAGATCCAGCTTTCATCGACGGTTATAGATCGGTGCTGAATGTCCTCCAGACTTGTGGCGCGAAATCATGCCAAAAGGTGGTGTGAGAGACAATGAAATTGTTGAGTCTTTGCTCAAACGCAGGATTCATTGCTCGAGAGTTCACTTTGGCGTACTGTCAAAAACTAATCGACAGATCACTCCATATTATATAAGTGCTGTCGTACTTAATCTAATAAAGGATGGCTCTGAGATACGATAATAAAAATTCGGCCAATTCGCGTTATCTTTATGTTAGGCCACGTATTTTTTGAACGACCCACGTACTAATTGAACATTTACGTATTATGAGAATTGTGAGAACTGTATAAATGGACACGTAACAACTTTTAATGTCGAATCTATTAACTTGCTATTGCCCTCGTTCGGCTGACGAACGTTAGTGCTCTCGAAATGTCGCGCCTATTATTAATTCAATTGAAATGGGAATTTCATTATTATTGCATTAATAGCTTCATAAAAACGAGTAGATGTATTAAAATATTGATTTATTATCGATTCATCGAAGTAAATTTAGTAACAGCGCGAGTGGCATTAACTTGACGTATTTATTCTCGTTATGAGCGCGCGCTAACACTGTCATAGTCTATTAATAAAAGTTATACGAGCTAAATTAAAAACGACTATGCGAATATAATTTAAAAGGCTGTAAGTGAAAGCCATCAGAGCCAACTGTTGAGTCAACTGTATATAATTAGAAAAGAAAGTTTCAACTACTGAGCATTCGCCTCATACGAGAGCAATGGAGAATTGAAACTGAAATCATATAAAGAGAATGGCTAAGCTCTCATAAGCTCATAACTCCATTTTTTGGCATTTGAAATTTGAAATTATGTTTTGATAACATTGTAGTTATCAAAATAATACGCCTTGCCATTTGGGGAAAAATGGCAAAAGGAATTTCGTAACCAACATACGGCGCTTTTGACGGTCCATGTAAGCATTTTATTAGAAAATGTTGATAAAGTTTTCTGCAGTTTCCCCTTTACCAATGCAACGAATATTCGTATTCATAATGTTGGTTATAAATCGGGTTTGCAAACACATAAAAAATGATTTCACTGTGATCAGCAAATCACTATTGAACAATTCTGTTAATTACAACGAAATTAGTCGACGATCAAGTTAATCGGAGCTTGATGAAAGAGTCATTCTAAATTATTAATATTATTAGCATTTATTATTCAAACACTCCGTATTATTAAAGACTTTTATCTCTCTTTCATTCCTTACAACATTCCCTATAAGTTTCTCTCTCTTCTTGTAAGGGTCCCAACGATATCATTTATTTCGACAGAATACGTATCTTTCTGGGCCATTTTCTCCCAAATGGTGTGGCACACATCACTTTGATACTTATATATCTTTAATCTATTCATGAATTGCTACAATTTTATAAAAAAATAATTTATGATTTCGAATGTCGTGAAATGGGGCCAAATTTGGCCGCGCTCCTCCCCTCAATCATACAATGTGTGGATGTGGCAATCGTAGCAATTTTCTACGTGTCGCGGCATAATAATCGACTGCAGCAGGTCAGCTTGCCTGCTGCTGCTTACGTTTCTCAGTGTGCCGTGGGCTTTTCCTAGTCGGAGAATGTCCGGATGAGGAGAGAGACGGTCCGTTTTTTTCGCGCACGCAACGAGGGGTGACACTGCGCTTTCGACGTTCGTTCGTGCATTGATTCCTGCGTCGAATACGCACGAATGCAGCGGGAGCGGTGTAACGTCAGCACGCGTTAAAATGCAGATTGCGCGTATCGATGCTTTCGCCATGGCCGTGCCGATTTAATCATCAAAATTAGGCTGAGGGGGCCGCGCTCTCGCGGTCTCCATCATCATTATGCGAATATTGTACGGAACTGAATATCATTAAACGATAACCGCTCGATTATTCACCATTAATTCCGCTGTTATGAACCGTCCATTAGGATCGGCCGACAGAAGTTTTCGCCGCGTTCCGCGCGAGACGCATCTCGCTTCTCCCTTTGACGCGGAATACATATCGAAATCTCGCGGATATTCCGCGGGATATATCGGAATACAGACGATCTTCGCGGGACATATGATCCTGCGGCTCGTTAATGTACTTCGCGATTTAACGTCCCGAGATCGGGTGTGCGCTAGAGAGTTGTTGCACACGCTAATTCTCTCGCTGAGCCAGCCCGCGCATCATTACGTTCGGTGATTAAAGCGCGATTTATTAACGACGCGATCATAATGAAGCGTTTTCTTTCTCCCTTCCTTCGCCGGCGATAACGATGACGATTAGAGATGGGAGATGCGAGAGGGTGAGAAAGTAAGGAGTGCTTCACTCGCACCACGTTCATTTTTCCACGTGCCTCCGGATGGAGTTGGAACTGCTAACGAGTCGTTGTCGTCGTTGTCGTGTGAGACGACAACGCAGTCGACGGCGCGCGCGCAACGTCGTAGACTTTATAAATCGTCACGTAGCAGAATCGTCGGCCCTTTCCCGCGGGGTGTGCATCGCGCTGCATACCGAATCGCGCCGATTGAAAGCGCTTCCCCGGCCCGTGCGTTTTTCTTCCCCTTCCCGCGTGTGTTCCGCGTTTTTTTATTCCCGCTGTTATTCGGCCGGCCAGATTCGCGAATCGCGCAAATACACTCGCATCCGGCCTGTAGTTATTGGACACGCGAAAAATTGACAAAACCCAGCCGGCCGAAAGCAGGTCAGTCAATCGATTCTATTGTGCGCTGATGACCGAAAACAAGAGTGCTCTGATGGACATCATGTACGACGGCATATTTTGATATTCGGCGCGTCAGCTGACATCCCGTCGGAGCATAAAGAGGGATACATTTAAAAGTCTCTCGTTAGGTGTTGCCGGATATCGACGGATTGAGGTCGGCGCTCTGGCCGAGCGACGAACGCTCGCGTGTATCGTCGCAGAGAGAACGAGAATGAAAATGATGGGGCGGAGGAAAAATAAATAAACGCGGCAGTAAACGCGCGCGGTGGATCCGCTCTTTGCGTGATGTTATCGGCCAAACCGCGACGTATTATTTCCCGGCGTTGCGCCTCCTTCACTCAGCGTTTTTCGCTTTCTTCCTCTTTCGTGCACGACCACCAGTCGCGATTTCGGCCGACGCGTAATTATGCCTCTTTCTCTCTCTTTTGCTTGACCCTCTCGCAAATATCGACCTTACGAATCGCAACAGCGAATCTCCTTCGCGAGTGTGGCCGAGGGGGAGAGAGAGAGAGAGAGTGAAAGAGAGGGAAGAGAGAGAGAGAGAGAGAGAGAGAGAGAGAGACCGTAGAGGCTTATCCATCCGAGCGGGTAGCGCGCTGATACCGGGCTGGAATAACGAAACCGCGGCACGCACCGCTTCTTTTATTTGCGTATCCCGCTATCCGAATGAAAAACGGCAACCGCCCGCTCTAAGCGTATCGCGCCTCTCCATGTTAACTGTTACGCGATTACTCGTTTTTTTCCCCTTTCTCTCTCTCTCCCTCTCTCCGCATTCTCGCTCCTTCCGCTCGCTCGCCTCATCCCATGCAGTCCCGGCATGTACGAGTTCGACGCCCACACACTCGGCATTATGCAGGCTCCGGAGCGGAATCCACCGTGCGGCCGACGCGCGCGACGCTCGCCGCTGAATACTAATTCCGCGCGTCGCGTTGAACGCAGATTCAATCCGCTCTTTGATTCGACTATTCTTGGCCTGTGAATTAAAAGCGCTCGCGGGAGCGACCTGTCCGTGCGCGCGCGAAAACGCGCTGACGATCCGCCGGCGGGAAGCGTTCCCCCGCCGCCGTTGTAACTGCATCTCGACATACATTGGATCTGTCTTTTTCAGCCGAACTAGGTTGTACTTCTTGCAAGAATGAAACGAGAATATGTCCAAGTAGAAAAATTTCCGGGAAAAACTGGAAACACTAGCCAGAGACTGGCCAGTTTTTACTGGCTAGGATTTATTGGGGAGTGACTGTTCAGAAACTGGACAAGAGAATACTTGCCAGTATTTCTTCGCTAATCATTGGCCAGAAAGTAGGAAGTAAAAAGTAAATGCTGGGCAGTTTTTCCGTCCAGTGAAAACTCGGGGAATGCTAGGCAATGTTTATGCTTGGCCGATTACTGGCTCAAAACTGGGCAAGAGAAAAGAGCAATTAAGAACAATGCTGTTACTACTTTAGTAAATTTGTACGCGAAAAGACTCTGCCTTTTAAAACACGTGGATTACATTATCTTTACATTGAATAATAAAATGTAATATTTTGCAATGTATAATCAAGCGATAAAAAGCACTGGACAGAATCTTGTACGGAAGAAGGTTTGGTTGGAAGCTGGTGAAAAGATGGCTAGAAACTGACCAGAAATCATGATTTTGACTGATTTTGACTGTCCAGTTACTGGGGAGACAAGCGTCACAAGCTTAGACTGGCCAGTAACAAGAATTGTTGGCCAGTTATAGACTAAAAAGAGGTTTCTCTTTCTACTTGAGTAATCTGGCGTTAAAGAGAAAAGGCAGCAGAGTCTTGCACCAGTTCAGCTAAAGAGAACAGGCTTACCCGTCCGTATTCGTGCTAGCGCGTAGCTCGGTGTTTCGCGCTGCGGATTCGCTTTGGCGGTTCCCCGGTTTCGCCCGGTGTGTTGCTGGTATAAAAACCGTATAAAGTTACCTTACAAACTCTATAAACTTGTAAGCGAGCTCCATCGTCGCGGAAGGTTGGGTAAAAGCGGGACGTTTAATCTGGAAGCGCGTCCGGCCGGATTTAAAAGCGAAGCGACGCGGGTCTTCCTGCGGAATGTTTCGCGACGCCGGCGCGATCGACGGCCATGAATGTATCAGACTTTATTCTATATCGCAACAAAAAGATAAGTGCGCGCCGTCCGCTACACGCACCGACACATTCCTGAACCGAAACGCGAGTCCTTTGAAGTTTCTTTTTCCGTGAGAGAGTGCTTCCGTTGAATTACTTTCGTCGCGATAGAGGAACCTCTTGGAAAGATCCGGAAATAAACTCGTGACGAGGGTGTCTTATCTCCCTTCCTCCTTGGACAGTTCCTTTACCTTCTCGTCCGACTTGCCGTCGGTATCGTCTCCCCTCGTCGTATCGTCATGTTGTCCACCTAGGAAACGCGCTTCACCGGTGGTTTAACGTGCACGTCAGCTTTGCAACGGAACACTAATTCGCGCTAGTAACGACCTCTTCGCTCCGCTCTCGCAATCGGAGCTAGGAATTATACCGAGACGTTTAGTTTTGCTCCTTAATGAGCGGCGCGCTCTTCGGGGAGATGGTCGCCCCGTACGTACGATGTGCTCCGGCGGAAGACCTGAGTGTCTAACGTAAACGGTGATGTAAACTCGAGTGGCGGATCAAGTCGGTAGATTATGCTTCCGTGTGTTTGTCCACGCGACGATGCGTTTGCTATTGCGGGTTACAGCATAATACGTTGGTTACAGGAGAATAGGAATCCGTTAATTCTGGTGTCTTTGAGTGTAAGAAAGAGAGAGAGAGAGAGAGAGAGAGAGAGAGAGAAAGGAAAGCAATTGATTCAGTGTCTTGGAGTTACTATAGAAACTGTAGTTTCTAATTTTCTCCCGGAAGCTTTGCTGAATAATGATGCGAGTGCGAAAAACGTTTTTCTTCTCGACAGAGGAAAAGTTTCAACAAGAATTGTATTCGTTCATCAGCTCAAGAGGATGTTTGACATAAGCTTTATATCTAGCACTATTTTTGCACGGTTTAGGTGTATAAAATTGTTGATGCTTATGTAGAGCGAGGATACAAATGTCAATAAATGACGGGGAGTATATTCCATGTTACATAAAAAATTGAAGAAATTTTTTACTTATAATTCTTTTCAGTCTTTTATATAACGAGATAAAAAAAAGTAGGCAACTATAAAGTTTTAATCGTATAATTACTGTAAATAAATAATCAAAATTTGTTTTTATAAGAAAATTCATTTTCTACGAAAGTATTATCAATATTTAAACGGCAATTTAAACACTTATTTAGGACATCCTAAAGTATTTTTCAAAATTTTGTCAAATTTTTTGTTATGTAGTTTTTTTTACTATATATTAATAATGTTTGAAAAACATGAAAAAATCAACATCTTCTGTTGTAAATTCAAATAAATAGTTTGAATATCTTTCATCATATTGTTCTGGGAGTTTTTTGTGTCACTAAATCCCAATCTGAGGTCAGAATTTTAAATTTTTTAAACTCCAGTGGCGGAACTAATATGAACCAGTACGTATCTTAAAGTTCTGATTCAATAATCCGAAAAATCGCCAGGTACAAAGTTTTAAGAGAATCGGTGTAATACAAAAATTTGTGGCGTAAAGGGTTGAAGATGATATTCAAGATGATGTTCATTGTGTTTGCTTGTTCTCGGGTCAGTCTAATCCACATTGTCCGGGCGGAAATCGTGCAGGTTACAGTTACCGTAACGGCACGAACAATTCGTAAAGGCGGCCGGCAAGGTAACAGCCAGAAATGAAACAATAACGTTTACTCCGGCGCAGCCCGTTGACGTAATATGAGAAAAAATGCCGCTCATTTTTAATTAAAGCCAGCTGCACGTACACGGGAGCCGCGGACGCTCCGGAAAAGCGAAACGAGAGGAAAAACGAGCACGTCCGACCAAGCGCGCACATAGAGAGAGAGTCTCGTTTGCTGGTCACGAACCGCGTTCTCATGTCGGATGCTATTATAGTAAAGAATAAAAGTGGATGGAAATACCAAGAAACGACGATAGGCACGCGCTGCATGCACCCGAACCCCCATGCGCGACCCCGCCGCGTTCACTTCCGAGTCTTTCTTTCTTTTCTTTCCAGCCTTCCTCTCTCCGCGCGCGACCCTTCGCGAGAATCACCTGAAAACGTATCGAACAATACGCCACACTGCGCTACGCAACACAGAGCGGAATGAGAACTGAGCCCGGCCGCGCAGGTTGATTCTGAATTATTGCGATGCCTCGTATGTGATCATACAGCGCGTATTACCGTAAATCAGCTGCGCCTTCGCGCAGACGAGAATCGCGACGAATTGGTCCGACAGCTCCTTAGAGCCGCTTAATCCGTCGACACGCGGCTTTATCTCGCGCAATTTCGCATCCCTACAGTAGTCAGACACGCAACGTATGCTGCGACGGTGTAAATGCCGCAAACGCGCAGCGTGGTGAGACGGTTGCCACCGCGTGATACGTCGAATCGGCTTGCCGATGTGTCGGACCGCGCGCGCGCGCGCGTTAATCCGCTGTTTGCGCGCAGCGCAGCGCAGCGCGACGCGGCAAGGGCGGATTAGCGCGAGGGAGCGTGTGTGCAAAGGCATAAAGCCAACCACCGCGCGTCCGCTCCGAGGTCGGGGAACCTCGGCGCCGACATTATGCGGCGCACCTCGCGTTCAACTTGATAAATGAAGGCAAACCGGCGAGTGTCGTTGCGGTCCGGCCAGCTCCCCGTCGTCGCCGTCGTCGTTGTCGTCCCTCCACCCCCACCCTTCCCCCGTCAGCGCCGCGCTTTTTCCCGTCGTACTCCGGAAGCAGTTGATTTCCCGGGAAGAAAGAGAAGAGAAAGAATAGAGGTGAGCGGCGGGTGGAAGGCGATGCCGGAGGAAGGGCCACTAAACGTCCACCTCCGGCAGAGGCCAAGGGTGGCTATCTGTCCGGGAAATAAGGGCTGAAGACAGGGACTTGATTATCCGGCCACGCGGCGGCATTGGTGGCGATGATGGCGGCAGTGACGACAAGAAGCGTTCTTACGCGTGGTGAGGCCATTGTACTACTCGTCGTTGGAAACTTTTTTAATCACGTTCTTCCGTTGCGGATACCGGATATTGCTCGACCCTCTTGACTCTTGCGAGTAACCAACGCGCGCGCACGCTACTCTCCGGGCTCTCACAGGAGCCTACTCAGCCCGCGCACCTCCCCGGCGCTCTCTTTCATTCATTATTCATATTTTCCAACCGTCCTTTCCACCCCTTTTGCTCCTGCGTTCGCGACAGCTCGAAGTTTTATTAATCGTTACGGACGCGCGCGCGTCGTCGTCGTCGTCGTCGTCGTCGTCGTCGTCGTCGGCCGGCACACGACGGTGGCGGGCGAAACGCGGCCGTACTGAATTATGCGTTCTTGCCCGTCGCAAGAAGTCGCTTACGAGTTCCTAAATGTGTTTTAAACCGCTCCCTGAAGCGACTATAATGGCTATTCGCGCGCGCGTTCCGATCGATCACGCTTGGAAGACGAAAAATATTCAAATGACGCACCTCCTCATTTTCAAGCGTCGTCGGGGGATCGGCGGGATCAAAGGGCCGCATAAATTTCCGCGGGATCATTTCCTAATAAAAATCAGCTTTTAGATGTTATTGCGCTTCAATGAGACTTTGTATGCGAATACGGGACGATTGCGGCGCAATTTTTGGATTTGGAAGGGATTGAACGTTCCTTCTCAGTCTTTCTTTCTTTCTCCCTCTCTCTCTTTCACTCGAAATATACGTCTGTAAGATAAATGAGGGAGGCAGAGTGTTCTGCTCTCTCAAAATGTTCAATCGCGTACGTGCAAATGTAACAAGCAAACAGAAAATATTGAAATGTTTCTCTTGACACTTGGACAAGATAATTCAGGCAGAGGTGAGGTAGAGAGAGAGAGAGAGAGGGGGAGGGAGGGAGGGAGGTTGGGGAAGGATAATAATAAAGAATAAGAGAGATCTCCCCGTAGCGCGTCTCTCACGTGTTTCGATGAAAAGCGAAGTACGTGTGGCGTAAGAAACGAATGGGACAGCAACAGCGTGAGCAAGAGTTATAGGTCGCGCCGAGCGCGCCGTGCGAAATTCGATATTATACTCGAAGCTCCCCGTGCCGTCCGCAAAGACGAATGGGCAGTTGCTGAAAAGAGCAAATTGCGAGAGCTAATTGAACCGGATGCGTCCCGCGCCTTTCACACCGGCTTGATCGATTAGGACGATGCGCTTTCTCTCTCTCTCTCTCTCTCTCACCCTCTCTCTTTCTCAGAGCTGTTATACTCGCACCGCGGCACTCTTGCTCACGTGCTGTACATGGATTGCGCGGACACGCCGGTCGACTCTTCTTCTTCATTATCCGCCCTCCACGGAAACGCTCTCCCGACGTAGGAAAATAAATTTCACTTTTTATCGAGCGATGCAGCCCCTCCGCGCGATTTCCGCTGACGCGGGCGCGACGAGAACGAGTCTGGGAAACTGCATACACAACGAATACGGGCACGGAGAACACCAAGGGGCTCTGTATATTTGACTTAATTAAGAGGATTTCATTTTAATTCCGCGGAAAATATTTTCACTCGAAGCTCTGGCGCACGCCCGGCCGGGCAGCCGCTCGTTGCTTTATAACGTATTTCTGTTAATTCCGAGGATAGAGGACGAGAGAAAGAGAGAGAAGAGGAAGTCTCTCATGCGTTTGCGAAATTTAATTTGCTTTATGACAAAGACATCAGTCGCTAGTCAAAGTCTCGAAATCCCGCGAACAGCACGGTTAAATTTTACTCGCGCGGCGCGCCTTGAGAGGCGTCGTGATTGTGAGGCGGTGTCCTATTAATACGAATATTTCTTATGGAAAAAAAGCCCTTTTTGTACGGCGCGTAAGCGCTTTGTAATGCAAAAAAATTCTCTTTCGCCTTGAATTTCAGAAACGTGCGGATATCGCGATTGGATTTCATGTAAATGTCATACGCCGCGAGCTCGGCATTGTTCTTTCGCGCTCTTTGACAGTAATTGACGATAATGCGGGAACTGACTCGTGATTACCATTGAATTCCATCATATATATAAATTCCGTTGCGCGTATGCAACCCATTGTATCGTCCCAGCCGGAACCTACGATCAAATAAAAAGAAAGCAATTCAAGAAATCGCGTTATTCGCGGTCGACCGCGAATCGCTGGCTTGCGCAGGTAGGTCAGGTCGAGATGCCCGGTGACCTTTATTTATCGCGCAATTCGACCCACGCTAGCGAGATACCAGCATTCACTAGCATCGGCTGCGAGAAACAAAACTGACGAGAGAGTCGGGATGAGCGATCTCCGATTACGCGCGTTAATCATCGACGCTATCACCTTCCGATTTCGCGGTGGAAATTCGAGATTCCGTTCGCTCGCTCGCCAGTGGCCGGAAGTGTGTCAATATTGGAACACGAGAATTAAGGATCGACAAAAAGCTTCTGCTGGTGCATGTCGCCGGAGAAGATCGGTACACGCACGCGCGTTTTGTCGCGTAACGCTGCGACGACGATGACGACGACGGTGGCCACCGACTTCGAAGCGTGTACCGGAGCGCCGTCAAAGTCGCGGTTGCATGGCAACGACTCATTCTCTTCTCGATGCACCCGTCGTCGTGCACTTTGCCAACCGGAGGTCCGTGTGTGTCGAGAGTCGGCAGACGCTTCGAGTCTGTTCGAATTAATCGCGGAAGGAAGGCGAGAGCTGGCGCGACGCGCCTCTTCCCCTTCTCGTGCTCCTCTTTTCGTTTCCCTCGTTCCATTCCTTCCTTTCGATTCTCCCAGCTCGGTTAACTGTGTACGCATGTATGTATGTATGTATGTGTGTGTGTATGTGTGTGTGTATACAAGGTGTCTCGGAAGACCCGCGCGTTTTCTCCGAGCGGAGGTATTCGAGTTTTCAGTCAGAGCGAGAAGAAAAGCACCGATTGTTTCGCGGGAGTCGCCGAATTCTAAGCGACTGAAAATCAAAGAGCGCGAGAAATGCAAATGAGTCGCGAAAGTTGTGCTACTCCGTGATTTTCGAGGGAGGGATTTCATCTCGAGGGGACTTGAATGCGAACTCCGGCCCCTTTTTGAGAGATGCGCATCCGAATGGAAGCGAAAAACACGAAGATGGAAAGTCCGGGACTATTTCAAATTCAAAGATCGCGTAATTGCGATCGTTCGAAAGCGCGCGATTTCCAGCGCCCCATCGCTCCCTCTCTCTCTCTCTCTCTCTCTCTGTCTCTCGTATTCCTTTAATGTTCCTTTTTCTTCCTCGCGTCTCGCGCATTCTAATTGTCGTCTTTCGCCTGGCTTCATCAACGACCTGGCTCCTTCTCCGCAACCGAGCGTCGCGCGCGGATCTACTCGCGAAATAAATTATCCGTGCTCGTCGTTGATGAAACCGATCGTGTTGACGCTTGTTACCTGTCGGAACTTTGTAAACTGCGACGCGTGCACGCGCGCGCGCTCCCTATCTCTCTCTCTCTCTCTCTCCCTCTCTCTAATCATTCGCATATTATTCGCGTACTGCGCTGCGTTGCCCCTTGTCGTTGCCTCGTTGCACCGACAAACAGCACGTCCGTCGTTGCAAAAGAGTCATCGTTCCGGCGCATAGTCAAAAGAGCCGCCGCGCGTATCTACCTCGTCGTGGATTTCGTGACACTTCGGACACAATGTTCACGTAACGCCTAGCGGAAGTACCTCTCTCTTGCTCACTCGCTCGTTTTCTTTCACTCATTCACACATACTCTCTCTCTCTCTCTTCCTCTCGTTCATTCTCTCGCTCTCACTTTCTTCTCTTCCACTCTCCTCACTCTAAAACGTTTCCCGACTTCCTTCTCCTCGAAGAAATGCGCGATGGAATGGAACAATTAGTAAAGTAGCAGACACAGGCAGAGTAGAAGAGAGTACAGCCTCGGTTGCTTGGCCTGACCGCCGTGCTGCATTGCCGCGGGATACTCTCCTGAAACAGAGGGCAACACTTAAATTTTCTGAAAACCTACGGCGGCCCCCTCCCCCTTCCTCCTTTGGTGTCTCGTGCTTTTTCCCCGTTGCCATCTTCCTGCCCCTCGTTGTTCTTTTTGCCGCTCGACCGGAATGCGAATGTCGAGCGCAATTTAGCTAATTATTTTCCCGTCCTTAATTGGCGCGGGGTTCTCTCCGTAGACCGTGGTCTCTTGCGACGCAAGGGGTGGGGCGGGGTAAAATTTTCGTGCGGCAAGAAAGGTGGTAGTTCTCTATCTCGTTGGTGTATTTTACGTTTTTCGCGATCTTGAATACACACGCGATCGATAACGCTCCGCCGCGACTTGTTAACTCTCACGATTGCCTGTTACTTGGGAGCGGAACGGAAGCTCGGAACATTGTCCTCGCATCCTGAATTACTCACCGTTGAGTACGTGTACGGTGATCGATTTCGGTTGAGCATTACTGGGGTTACAAGTGTACCGTCCGGAGTCCGACGGCTTTGCTTCTTGCACCAAGAGGAAGCTCGTCGTGGTCTCGCCCTTCTCCGTGACTACGGAGATGCCACCTCTGGTCGAGTCGTAGCTGATTATCTGAAACAGAGATCGAGCGATCGTTCTGAGGACGGGGCTCTGATATCACCTCGAATCGAACGGGAAGCCGGAGGTGGAGCGGGATACGAGTGAGAAATCGGCTAACCAACGCCAGATACAGTTTTTATTGGATGGCCTCGGCGGCTATTGGCTAGAAAAAAACGACGCGGAGATAAGCTCGTCGAAGGACGACTCCCTTTCAGTTCGCGGGGAGCACTGACGAGGGTGGAAAAAAATACGACGTTTTCCCCCCGGCGAGAGTTCTTTCCCGCGTGTTCTACAGAATCGACGATCGGAAAGGGGTTGTAAAGTACGGTATCGGGACGACCGGTGATACCAGAAAGAGAGAATGAAAGAGAGAAAGAGAGAGAGAGAGAGAGAGAGAGAGAGAGAGAGAGAGAGAGAGATAGCTTTACCCCGACGTTCTGTGCAAATTGCTTCGGCGGCGACTTATGTCCCGAGGATATTTTTCCGGGATAAATATTATTCCGGATACGCGCGGATGATTTTTGCCGCGACAGATGAATGGCAATTCGCTCCATTCCGCGTAATTTCGCGCAGCTTTTAATTGCTTTCTCGAGTTACACTAGATGTCGAATCGTCACTATCCACAGCGAACGCGTGTCGTACTTTTTAATTATACTAAATATAGGAAATATCGGGACAAATCCGACAGAAATCTCCGTTGCATTTTGTTGGAAAAATTATTTGATATATATCCAATCAGCATAAATGTCAAAAAAAGTCTCAGAGACATCCCAAAGACGTATAAATCAAGAGGATAATCTTTCAGATGTCTGTAGGGTGTTTTTCAGGTATTCACACGCTATATGGATACATATATATACAGGGTATTCTATTTTAAATAATACATTTTAATATTTCTTCTGTAACTCGTTATAAACAAAAATTTTTTAGACAAAAGTTTCATATTCTGTAAATATTCTCAAAAATATTAAAATAAAATGTAAAATATGTCTCAGAAAATATTTATGACAATTTTACTCTAATATTTTTATACGCAGAATAATTAAAGGATTTATAAATATTATATTAACAAAACTATGTGATTCCACTTAAAAATTTCAATCTAATCTTAATATTTGTCACGCAAGGTCAAACTGATTTCGTTGCTTTGTGCTCCTCTCCGAACCATGCAACTTTTGTTTGTGACGAGTTACAGAAGAGATATTAAAATATATTATTTATAGTTGAACATTCTGTGTATGTATACAGGATGTCTCACACTCTCCTCCGAGCATTTTATGGGGACGTAAAATGGGTTGATGTGAACATGTAAAAAGTAAAAGTCCTATACCGTTTTGCGATATTCGCAATAATTATCGAGATATTAATTGTAGAAAACTTGTAAATGATCATGCAGAATATGGTAAATGAGTTATAGTAGCGACGACTGCCGTCGTGTACTTTAGATCAAATTGAACAAAAAAGTCCTCTACCATTTTGCAAATAATCACATAGATTTTTAATTATTAATTATATATAAAGAAGATTATTGCACGATTTTGCGTGATAATGCACTCATTCGGTTGAGGACCGCTCAAATGGTAGACTTTTTTGTTCAATTTGACCTAAAGTATAAGTACACGACGGCAGTCGTTGCTATTATAACTCATTTACCATATCCATATGATCATTCACAAATTTTCTACAAATAATATCTCGATAATTATTGCGAATATCGCAAAACGGTATAGGACTTTTATGCTCACATCAACCCATTCTACGTCTCCACAAAATACTCGAAGGAGAGTGTGAGATACGTTGTATATATACTATATATAAGAGAAAACTCATACTTATTTGATTTGTTGCGACACCATGTTACGCTTTCTTATGAGAAATGAATTCATTTGAGGCTAGAATTATTATCAAGGTATAATAAAGACTTTCTGATAACCAGTTACCGTTTTCCGCGCGTTTGAACTGGAGAATTGAACATGATGTCCAAACGCTAGTGGTATACTCGTCGCGAGGCACTGGCGAACGCCGTGTTTATCCTACGTCTGTTCCACTCGACGATGCTCGTCACGAGTGTCGTTTCAAACGCGCGCGACCGGCAGGGTCCACGCTCGGCGGTGCAAGTGTACTGAAAGGAACAAGGAGCGAAGAGTGTCGCGAAAGCCGAGAAGGATTTTTAAATAAATAATCCCCAGCGCGCGCTGGAACCACCCTTATAGCGCGACTGTGTGCTTACGTTCCGTCTGAGAGGCACGTAAGCCTTCTTAAGGGAGCAGGGAATCGTGGAACATCCCTCACGTTGTTGGATATTCACTTCTCGGCTGTGTGTTTCGACGTTAAGTCCGAACATCACCACGGATGTGGATATTCTCGCGATCATCTCGGCGGGAGCGTAAATGCTAAATTATCAATTCAATTCTCAGCGCGCGCCATACACTCTCCCGCAAGCTAGATGTGTTCTTCTTGATGCGTAATGCAACATTCCGTCATTTTATCGTGATACTTCTCGCATGACCGCATAAAGGGAAGTTGTAAAGCTTTTATGTCACAGAATAAGATCATGTGAAAAAGAAGAAATCATATGTGTCAAGACTTAAATTCTAATACATATGGAAAAAATTTTTAGTTGAAATAACCACATCCTTGATGAAATATGAACAAACCAGAAATTCTGCTGGGAAATGCGTGAGAAACCAGAGATTTTACTAACTTGAATAGAGTTTTGCTAACAGGAATGTTCTGGCTCGTTCATATTTCACCAGGAATTTGATTAATTCAATCAAACGCTAGGGAAGATTGAGTTTAGAAGTCACACAAGTCAATTTGTCACAAAGCTTATATCTCGTAAGTGGAGTGTGTACAATATTAAAGTGTGTAAGATTAAAAAAAAATTGCATACATCTTTTTTAATACAAAAAATGTGACAATCAGACCCAATCTCGACTATACGCGGTGCATGCGTATCACACGTGATAAAAAAAATATTTGTTATTTGTAATTATAATCACGTAGAGAAATAATTACTATAAATTACGGTTAAGAAAGTCATTTTTTAAATTAAGTTTTGCTATAATTTCAATGATAATAACTTTATATATGCACGTTGCTACTACCGCGTTAAAATACTTCGTGTCAGAATAATCAAAAAAATATGATTGGGGCCAAAAATAACTATAATTTTAGTCAGATCAATCATGTTTCTTTCTCGGTACAGGTATCTATTAACTTTTAGACTGTCGGGAAAGCCACTTTTGTGGCTCTGTACAAATCTCAAAATTCTGCGCCATGTGTATGTTACTTATGTAGAAAAATTTTTGAGAAAAAAACCACTTTTTTAATGAAAAATGTCGGCAGCCTAAAGGTTAAAGCATTTTGCAGCTTCGAATGGTGCAGGACGCGCTTAAGTTTCCCCGTAAATGACAGTCCGAAGTAATTGTATCTGAAGCGTGATTGCTTCGTCGGGAAAAGTGCGGGATGTATCTTCGAAGTTTGGCTCATTGAACGCACAGATACACGCGCTCTGCTCGGGGCAGAAAAACTTTGTTGAACCGGTTTTCCACGGTTTTCCCTCGGCGCGTTGCATCTTAGGAATAAAAATATCGGTCGCGGGGGCTGTTTATCCCCATCGCGTTGATGGTGGCCTCAAAGTGCGATTAATCGGACGGGAAAGTTAGAGCGCTACCGCCTCCGCCGCCGCCACCGTCGTCGTCGTCCTTGCCGCCACCGCCGCCGTCGAGTTTGATAAGCGCCGCGCTACCTTCCTGCTCCGTTCCGTTATCTAAACCGCGCTGCGGTCTAACGCAGGATAATATGCGAAACTTTCGTTCGAAAGTCCACGGTTAATCCGGCCGTGTGTACGAGGTGCAATAATGCCGACAACACACATACACACGCATACATGTACGGGTATGCAGCCACGTAGCTATATGCTTCGCACGCAGCTGTATTCCACAGTCGCACACACACACGCCCTCTCTGACTCTGAGTTCTCTTTCTTTCGCTTCACTTTTCTCTTCCTCTCTCTATTCTCTGTTATAATTATACAGGATGTTCCAGCTCGATTTCACAATCTTTCCCGAGGATGTAGAGCGGATTGAGATGAACAGAAACGTTCAATACTATTTTGCGAAAATCGCAATAACGATCGAGATATTAATTGTGGAAGATTTGTGAATGATCACGCATGATATAGTAGATGAGGTGTAGTTGCACGACTTTGCACGGTGATGCATCAATCTTCTTTAATCAATAATTAAAAATCTATATGGTCACTTGCAAGATGTTACACACAAAAAAAATTTCAGTTGGTGCAACCAAATAGAAACCAACTGAAAATTAGATGATCAGAAACGATATCTCTGTTATGAAAACTAATATTTCTGTTGTCGCAACCGAAAATATTTGTCTGAACATTCAATGATATTAGAACTCGATTGAGGCAACTGAGAACAATTGACTATGCAGAAGCCTCATAAAGAAATTTTTCTGTTCCTACAGCCGAGTTTTCGTTTGATCCCTGAGCAGTCGAAAATTCGGTTGCACTAACAGAATTGTTTTTTTGCGTGTAGAGGACTTTTTTGTTCAGTTTGACTTAATGTACAAACACACATGACGGCAAACGTCGTCACCACAACTCATAAATCATATCGAGCATCATCACTTAGAAATCTCCTTTAATTAATGTCTCGATAGTTATTGTGAATATCGCAAAATGATAAAAGACTTTTCATCTCAATTCGCTCTCACGAGAGATTGTGAAATCGAGCTGGGACATCCTGTATAGCTTTGTCTCTTTTTGTTTCTTTTTTTTTACCTTTTTGTAATATATTACGTACTTATTTGTTCAGCGCTTGAGAGGACCGTGTCCCAGAGCGCAAATAAATTATACCTCTTCTTTCTCTCTCTCTCTCTCTCTCTTTATTCTCCCCCTTCCCCCCTACGGAAGCTCCGCACTTTCTTGTTCTATACAAGTCCCGGCTAGGTGTGTCGTCGAGTTTTTACAACCCGCTGCTGTAACT